GCCATGTTGTCTACTGATCTTGAGACTGTTTCTGGGCTTGAACCAGTGGCCTGCTGTGGTGCTTGACAATCTTTGGACTGTGCCACTTTACTTGTTGACTTTGGGCTTGCCAGTCTCAGCAGCCAGCAGTTATCTGAGGTAAGAGATGCCTCCAGCTCCAGTGGGCCAGGAGCAAGAAGCAGACCTGAAGCTGAAGGCTGAGGAGCCTTCAGCCAGCTTCCAGACCTGGCACTTTGAACTCGGACTTCTAGTCTCCAAAACTGTTAGAAAAGAAATCCCTGCCTGTTAAAGCCATATATTTGGGTATTTTCTGTTAGAGTGGCACTAGAAAACCAAAACAATGTCTATCTTCCATTTTGGATCTGATGTAATTGTTCTGTTGTTGTTGTTTGTTGCTGTGTGCCATCGAGTGGGACCCACTCATAGCGACCCCTCCTTGGGTTTCCGAGGCAGTATCAGTATGGAAGTAGATTGCCCCATCTACCTTCCGAGGAGTTACTGGTGGATTTGAACCGCCAGCCCTCTGATTAGCAGTCCAGTGCCTCAGGTGATGTAAATCCTAATTTCTTCTTTCTGCCTGTGGTTAATGAGACAGGATTAGGTTATGTGAAAGAGGATTTGGTTACGTTTTTTATGGTAATGAGGCAGGATTAGAGTGGGATGCAACACCCTTACTCAGGTCACAGTTCTGATCAGATGTGAGAGGAGTGTCCCTGGAGTGTGGCCTGCATCTCAAGAGACAAAAGGAGAGATAAGAGACCAGGAAAGATGTGTGTGTGTGTGGGGGCTGACTACCACAAAGAAAGAAGATCCAGAAGCAGAATGATCCTTTGGACTCAGGGTCCCTGTGCTGAGAACCTCCTTGACTGAAGGGAAGATTCATGCCAAGACACATGGAGATCTCCAAGGAATGCCAGGCCCACAGATGCTGAAAGGAGACAAGGACCTTCTCCAGAGCTGACACAGAGAGAAAGCTTGCCCCTAGAGCTGGAGCCTGAATTTGGGTTTCTAGAGTTTTGGTGGCATAGTGCCTAAGGCATTTGACTGCAAACCAGAAGGCTGGCGGTTCGAACCCACCAGCCACTTCCTGGAAGGAAGATTGGGCAATCTACTTCTGTAGAGATGTTGCCTCGGAAACCCAAGGAGAGGTCTCTATGAGTCAGAACCGACTTGATGGCAGTGAGTTTGTTTTGTTTTTAACTGTGAGAGAATAAATTTCTGTTTGTTAAAACCATTGTGGCATTTCTGTCACAGCTGCACCAGACAGCTAAGACTGAAGCCGAGTGTGTTAACCATTTGAATCACCTAGGGACTCCCCAAGTAGGACAGTGCTTGCCAGCAGACTTGAGGGCAGACATACCAAGCTTCAATCCTAGCTCTGATAGTGACCAGCTTGGCACCTGGGACAAGTCTATTAAGTCTTACAAGTTCGGTTCCTCATCTGCAGGATGGGGATAATATTACCTACCTCATTATTTCCTTAATAGGATTAGCATAGTGGGAGCTCTGGTAGCATAGTGGCTAAGACACTTGCCTGCTAACCAGACGGCTGGCGGTTCAAACCCACCAGCCACTCCTCGGAAGGAAGGTTGGGCAATCCTACTTCCGTAGTGATACTGCCTCGGAAACCCAAGGAGGGGTCGCTATGAGTCGGGGCCGACTCGACGGCACATAACAACAACAACAACAACAGCACAACCTGTAAGCTCAGTAAATGTTAATGTTCCTTATCAACTCAGGCATGTACAGCCAACAGGTGGGGGAGTGTAATAAGCAGTCCCTCAACCTTATTTTAGGAGCTCTGGTAGCATAGTGCTTAAGGCATTTAACTGCTAACCAGAAGGCTGATGGTTCAAACCCACCAGCCACTCCTTGGAAGGAAGGTTGGGCAATCTACTTCTGTAGTGATACTGCCTCGGAAACCCAAGGAGGGGTTGTTATGAGTCAAATCCGACTCAAAGGCAGCGAGTTTGGTCTGGTTTTTCAACCTTTTTTTATACTCAGTGTTTCAAAGGATCCCTGGTGGCACACTGGTTACAGCACTCAGCTGCTAACTCAGCAGCCACTTCATGAGAGAAAGATGTGGGGGTCTGCTTGCTTGCATAAAGATTACAGCCTTGGAAACCCTGTGGGGCTTGTTGTTGTTATTTGCCTTCGAGTTGGACCCAACTCATAGTGACCCCTCCTTGGGTTTCTGAGGCAGTATCGCTATGGAAGTAGATTGCCCAACCTGAAAGATCAGAGTTTGAAAACCCTATGGAGCAGTTCGCCTCTGTGCTTACGGGACAGCCATGAGTCCAACTAGACTTGACAGCACCTAACAACAGCAGTTGTGTATAGTTATGAGGTCAGCTCTTATTGCCAGACTATGGAGGCTAACAGACAGGCCTGGTGTTTACATAAACAAGTACAAAACCTCAAGAAAACACCCCGTGAGCTGCCCTCAGGGCCATTCATGGGCATCAGAGCACAGCTGGGCTCCGGAGGGTTCTCAGCGGCCCACTTTTCTGAAGTACAATGCCAGGCCTGTCTCCTCAGTCACCTCAGATGGGCTCGAACCCCCAGCCTCTTTGTGAGCAGCTCAGTGTGTTAACTGTACTCCCCAGGGACTCCTACATAAGAGGACACCTACTTCATAAAGTGCCAAAACCAAACAGAACCTGTGGTGTGGATTCTGACTCGAGTGACTGCGTGTGTCACAGAGCAGAACGGCTCCACAGGGTTCTCTTGGCTGTCATCTTAAGGGAAGCAGATTGCCAGGCCTTTCTTCTGCAGTACCTTTGGGTGGGTTCCAGTCATCAACCTTTCAATTAGCGGTCGAGTGCAAATCATTTGCTCCACCCAGAACCTTCAAAAGTACCAAACCAAAAATAAACCTGTTGCCGTGGTATTGCATCTTGATCATATAAGCCAAAGAAAGCCAAACTCACTGGCTTCGAGTTGATTCTGACTCATAGTGACCTCTGCTGGGTTTCCAGGGCTGTAAACCTTTACGGAAGCAGAGTAGCTGGTGGGCTCAGACCATCAACATATTAGCTAGCAGCCTGATGCCTTAACAACTACACAACCAGAGCTTCTTTGAGTCGTTGAAAACCAAACCAAACCCACTGCCATCGAGTTGATGCCGACTCATAGTGACCCCCACTGGGTTTCAGAGGCAGTAAATCTTTATAGAAGTGGATTGCCTCATCTTCCTTCTGCAGAGTGGCTGGTGGGTTTGAACCGCCAACCTTCTGGATAGCAGTCAAATGGCTTAGGCACTGTGCCACCAGATCTCCCTTTGATTCATTAAAAACAAAACAAAACAACAACAAACTCCCTGCCGTGGAGTTGTTTCTCATAGCGACCCCCACTGGGTTTCTGAGGCTGTCAATCTTTATGGAAGTAGATTGGCCAGTCTGCCTTCCACAGAGCAGCTGGTGGGTTTGAACTGCTGACCTTCTGGTTAGCAGTCAAGTGCCTTATCCATTATGCTACCAGAGCTCCCAACTCATGTTAAAAAACCAGACTCACCACGGCCAAGTCCTTTCTGACTCACAGCGACCCCTCCTTGGGTTTCCAAGGCAGTATCTCTAAGTAGATTGCTCAGTCTTCCTTCCGAGGAGTGTCTGGTTGGTTTGAACTGCCAGCCTTCTGGTTAGCAGTGAAATGCCTTAGACATTACACCACCAGAGCTGGTAGGGCTTAGAACAGCACTTAACATCTAGTGGCCACTTTAAGAACTACTAAGGATTCATTGAGGAGCTCTGGTAGCATAGTGGCTAAGACAGTTGCCTGCTAACCAGACGGCTGGTGGTTCAGACCCACCAGCCACTCCTCGGAAGGAAGGTTGGGCAATCCTACTTCCGTAGTGATACTGCCTCGGAAACCCAAGGAGGGGTCGCTATGAGTCAGGTGTGACTCGACGGCACATAACAACAACAACAACAAGGATTCATTGAGCAACTATTCTAAGGCCAGGTCTTAGCCCTTGGAAAACTTAACATTCCAGCAGGAAAAACAGGCTCAAACCAGAAAACGGTGGAAAATGGCATCACAGAGGGATGAGTCCGGCAGGCCAAGGCAACCTGAAGAAACTCTCAGCTCAGGTCAGACAACACCCCTTTCTCATACATCAAGGTCAAGGCAAACCATTGCAACAGCCACCTCCCTAGACACACGTACAACGGAGGTAAAAACCAGCCCTTCTCAGGTAAGGGATGGGAACTGAAGGGAGAAGCGGAGTAGGCGGTGACTGCAAAAAGTGAAAAGGCTTTTGACTGTTAACCAGAAGCTTAGCGGTTCAAAGCCACCAGCCACTTCTGGGACGGAAGGTTGGGCGATCTACTTTCCTAGTGCTACCGCCTCGGAAACGCAAGGAGGGGTCGCTATGAGTCGGATCCGACTCGACGGCAGTGACTTTGGTTTTGGCTTGGAAAATAAGTCACCCGAGCGAGAAGAGAAGGAGCGCTGTCTGGGCTGGCTGTCACCTGGGTGCGGGGGTGGGCTGGGGCACGCTCCGGGATCGGAAGGGGAAACTGTGGGGGCAGGTGGGCGGGAGAGGGGGTGTGCACGCAGCCAGGGCTGTCTGCTCGCGGGAGGCCACGCCGGGCGCAGGGACCCGCGTGGCTCCTCCTTCGCCGCGCCCCCTTCCTCCTTCCTTCTCCTCCTCCTCCTCCTCGGCCCTGGGAAGAGGCAGGGCTGGATCGCTCAGCCGCCGCCGCTCCTCCTCCCGGCGGGCTGGCTGGCGAGTCAGCTGACGCGGGCGCCCCAGCCTCGCCTCCCCGCGCCGCGCGCCCCCAAAGTGGCTCCTAGCCAGCCGCCCACTTCCAGCTTCGGGGGCAGACAAAGTGATGCACGCCTTCTAAAGCCGGCAGAGCGGTCGCCGAAGCAGCTGCGCCCCGGCAACTTTCTCCCCCTACTCCTCCTCTTGGTTCTGCCCCTCACCCCCCCCCCCCAGAGCCACTTTGGAAATAGGGTTCGTGCGCCTGGGTAACCGCGGAGGTCACCGGCTGTCCGGGATGGCTTCCAATTTTAATGACATAGTGAAGCAGGGGTACGTGAGGATCCGGAGCAGACGCCTCGGGGTGAGTACCGATCCTCCTTTCTTCTGCTTGGCGCCGGCGGCGCCGGAGGGTGGCAGCGACCCCGGCCGGGAGCTGGTAGATTGCGCTGTGGCTTTCTCAGCCGAAAGCCACCTCCCCTGGGACTGCCTCTGTAGGGCCAGCGTCTAGGCATGTAACGGATCTATCTTTATCTCCTCGATGACTTGGCTTTCTGAAGGTGGCCTCGTGCTCGGCCGCAGTAGCCACTGGAGACCATCCTACTGGAAATAAATATTTCCCGGTAGCCATGGGAGTTGGCGCCCAGAGTCCGGGGCTGGGGTGCAGAACCCGCACCATGCCCCCTCGCCCCTCTCTTTCCACACTCCCTGCCAACTTAACTTTCCCAGAGGATGGAGCCCTTGAAAAAGGGCGGATGCAGCCAGTGTGACCAAGGTCAGTGACCCTGTGACCCCAGGAGCAGGTTTCTGCCAGGTGAAAGCTCCCTTTGGACACCCAGTCCTGAATAGTGGCGCATATCAGTCTCAGGTGTTGGAGAAGGCGATGGGCTGGCCTCTGACCAGGGCCAACTTGGGTTGTGCACACCTGAATGTGACTTTTCCCTTGTCTTTCACCTGGGTGGTGGCTCTGTGGTGCTGGAGTACACACGGGAGCCCATTGGAAGATGCTTCAGAGCAGAGCGTCATGCATGTAGGGAGCAAGCGCTCCGGAAATACGCACTGAGAGAAGGAATGAATGAATCTGGGATGAGTCAGGAATGGACAACCGTTGGCACCGGGATGCCACCTCCTTTAAAGCTCCCGCTCCTTTCTTCATTGGGGGCTCAGGAAAGAACCCACTTACCCCCACTCTGGGCTTGAGGGAGGATGAAAGAATTCTTGGAGGAGGGGGAAGACATTGGAATTTTTTTTTCTTTTTTTTTTTAAATTTCAAACTACCTCATTTCTCTTTGCCTGTCTCAAGTATTCTTGCTGCTGTTTTTGTTGAATGTATGTATTGGGGGCAGGGGAGGGGGAGAAAGAAAGTTACTTAAGTAATGCTCAAAATAATTACAATCTCAGTAATACTGTGGAATGACCGCTGAGTGCTGAGCGATGGGTTGAATAGATTTCCCTACAAATATATGTCATTTGACAACCTCCTCTTACTTGCTCTTTGGATTTTTTTTATGTGTCTGCCAACTGCACTGAAGATGGAAAGGAAATTTCTCAGCAGTAAACTGAGCTAGGGTGGGAACTGTGGTAGGGTGGGTGATGAGAAACACCCGTAATTATCATAAAACTCTCACCTGTTTGTTTTGGTCTTTTTCTTTTTTCTTTTCCCCCTGCTGGTTACCACGTTTTAGCAATTATGCCCACATTACTGTGAGTATATAAATATATATAACTAGAGAGCAGTGGGACAGAATTAACCAATCCCACCGGCTGTGTAAGTTTCCTTGAATTTCCTTTGTGCCATGCAAATGCAAGAGCAGCTATGGTTGGCTCCTTACCTAAGTGACTCCATGCAAAAGGACAGACATAAAAGGAATGTTATATATTTGATAACCATCTGGGCCGACCAAGTGTTAGGATTGTAAAGGAACCATAAACAAAAATTAATTTTAGGTTTACTCGATCATCTCAATGGAGGAAATTGGCAAGAGACATCCATTCTGTGTCAGGAGCATTCCAATAGGAAGAGGAATGCATTATTAATGCAAACAGGTGAATTATTCATAAGGAGTGGAGTTTATGCCAAATTATGACACATGGCAATTTATTTGAAGGACTAGTTACCATAACTTTCTAGTTTATGGTAATTAAGATGAATTTTGTCCGTATGCTTCCCTCTGACACTATGTAATCCTATGTTGGCACCAGTGTTTATGGGCAGATATCTAAAGCAGAAGGAGAATAAATACATTTTAGTCTGCTTGTGTATTATATTTCACTGTATTTTGGATGCCAGGGATCAGTAGACTTTCTCAGGATTCATTCATTTTGTCTGTGCTAACCCTCAGAGAGATTTCAGAATGCCCACTGAACGACTGTTATTACTCATGGAGAGAAAAGGTCAAACACACCATCAGAGAAATCTGGTCTTATTTGTTAACATTGGTTTTTATCACCACTTAATATTTTACAATTTTCTTGTGATATAACTTCTGGAGGAAGCTGATTATATTGGCGTTAGAATGCAGAGCCAACTAGTTTCAGTGGAGCCTGCAAGTCATGGTGAAGCATGCTTCAGGGGAGTGGCTCAGGGACCCTCTGGCCACAGTGAGGAATTAATCTAGGCTGCATGGCCCAGGACACCATGTAGCATGTATGTTCTGAGAATATGTGAATCTCAGAGAGAGTGAGCCCAGTGTCTGGCACAGAGGCATCTAGGAAACATGCATTGAGTGACTTGGATTGCCTGACCTAGTTATTGGTAAGCCTCTTTCAGAACAAATGTGACAGTGTGACTTAGTGGTTTTATTAATGGAAGCTAGCCAAGCGTCTGTGGATTAGAACTGTGTTGGGGAGGGTTTATAATTAAACAAGAAAACAGCATTTCACGGCAAGCAGCTGTTATGCCAAGGCATGCCCCCTCAGATTTGGAAAAAGAAGAGAAGACAGTGTGCTTATATTACTCATTAGCCCTATGATGCTTGCTTGACCTTTCTCAGCCTGAGTTTTGTAATAGGTTCAATGAATGATTTAAACCAAAACCAAAACCCCTGCACTGAGTCGGTTCCCACTCATCATGACACTGTGGGACAGAGTAGAACTGTCCTATAGGGTTTCTAAGGTTGTAATCTTTACACACTCGTAGCAAACCTATGAGTCGGAATCAGCTTGGTGGCAGTGGGTTTAGTTTTTTGGGTGGAGTCAAATGGCCCATATTTTAGTTAGCAGTCGAGCGCTTAACCACTGTGCCCCCCTGCGCCTATGAAAACTGTTTTACAAAACCAAGCCCACTGCCATTGACTGAGTCAATTTCAACTCATAGCAACCCTACAGGACAGAGTGAAGCTGCCCTGGATGGTTTTCTTGGCTGTAATATTCATGGAAGTGGATTGCCAGGTCTTTCTCGTGTGGAGGTGTGTGAATTCAAACTGAAAATTCTCAGTAAACTGCTTATTTAGGAATGTCTGAAGGCCTAAATGATTCTGTAGCTCTAAATGGTTTTGTTGCAGGGAGCTTTTACAAAGGACTACTAAATGTGAGTATTGCTTCCATGGGACAAGAAACATTCTAAGACCATGCCCATTCCAATGTGTCAAGGGTAAATATTTAGTTGAGATCCTAAACAGTTTAGACAGTCAAGCAATCAAGTATGTATTCACTTATGTTTTCTTTAAACATTAAAAAGCAAAATGAAGTTCAGCTCATACAACTCAAAAACCTCAGTATCTTCAAATCAGCATTTGCCAACTTAATCTCCACTGGTTCATGGAGGTCACTCACTGTGGCCTGGGTACAGTATTTGTTCAGGAACAGCCACAATGTTACTGTTTGGGGGACTGTTTTGGGAGAGGAAAGCAGCCATCTGTAATTATCTTAAGTATCTGATTAACAAAAGGCACTAAAAGCGTATTCTTACATGCATGGTGAACCAGGTGATCTGCACGTCACTAAGCTGATGGACCGTGGGTCTTCAGTGCCATCATACAACTGTTCATTTGCAAAGGCAGAATTTCCCAATCAATGATTGTCATGGCTTGCTCACAATGCAACCTCCAGGGTTTAAGCTCACACCTATCATTTTTATCTGCACGCACTCCTCCCAATTACCTGCCTTTAAATGATATCTTTTTGCTGATGTCTATGGACCTCTTCTCTGAACTCCACTCTGCTGGGTCCTAATGTCTACCCCACACCTCATCTCCACTTGGATGTCTAACATATCTCGAACATAACATGTTCAAGCCCTTGATCATTTCCCCCAAGCCTGCTTTTCTAGAGTTCCGTACTCCTCAGCCACTAGAGAGAGGACTCCCATTTTGGTTGCTGAGGTAGAAGTCAATCCGTCAAGCCTTGGTGTCATCCCTCTCCTCTCCTCTCCTCTTATCTCTCCCTCCCGCCACAACCAATCCATCAGGAGTCTGTGGGCTCTATCTTTGAAACCTATTTAGAACCTGATCCTCTCACACACCCACTGCTACCATCGGTTCACATCCCCAGGATTTCTCCCCTGTGATGTCGCAGCGAGCGCCTCACCTGCCACCCTCGTGTCCTTCCGTCCATTCTCAATGCAGCAGCCTAAGTGACCCTTGGGAAATGGAAGACGAATCGTGCCACCTGGCTCCTGCAACCTCACCCATGATCCATATAATTCAGAGCAGCCTTAGAGTAGAACTTCCCCACAGGGTTTTCTAGGCTGTCTTTTTTACAGGAGCAGATCACCAGGGCTTTCTCCTCCCAAGCCGCTGGGCGGGTTCCATCCACCAACCTTGAAGCTGTGCACTTAACCCGTTGTGCCACCAGGACTCCTTTACAACCTTCTAGGAGGCCTTATGTGTCCTCTGGCCACATCTCCTTTTTCCCTGTTGTTCCCTGTGCTTGGGAGGCTCTCCTCAGCTATCTTGTCATGCACCCCTGCCTACCTCCTTCACTTTCCCTCAAGTGCCTCCCAGATCACCCACGTGTGTTTCTTTTCCTCCTCTCCCCCATATCCCTTCCCTCTGTTCTCCATGGACTTCTCACCACCACGCACAGCAACAATAAGCTTATGTTTATATCCTCTGTAGTGTGGGATTGCTCGGTCTTTATCACAGCTGTACCCCAGTGCCCAGAGCAGTGACCAGCACAGAATGACACTCGATGAAGCTTTGTTGGATGAAAGAGTGAATGAATGAGCCCATCACTGAGCAATGTTTTCACAGCATAGGCTCTGACCTGAGACTGCCTTAAAATGCCAGTGCAGTGACCAGGTTCTGTGGCTTCCGGTGAGTTAGTTAACATTTTTAAGCCTCCATTTCTTCTATAAAATGGGAAGACTGATAATAACCAGGAGCCCTGGAGGCACGGTGGGTAAGCCCTTGGGCTGCTAACTGAAAGG